AAGATCTTATTTTTAAAAAGTAAGACTATATTATTTGGTTACAATTTGAAATAATTGTGGACCTATAAATTCCTACTGTCATCCATCTGTCTTTCCTTAATCTCAAGGACAAAATTAAATAGATGAAATCCAAGACCAGATATGGAAACATTAAGGGCAGGAGGTCCTGACTAACTACATACAAACTTCCAGTGGAAACTGAAAATCACATTATTTCAATTCAAAAATTTTTTCCCAAAAGATGTTAGATAGATGACCAGTAGGACTCTATTGTTAAAGGAAAATTACTACTACTACTACTACTACTACTACTACTACTACTACTACTACAGTGTGTCCCAAAAGTATATATTATCAACATTTTACTGCTTTTCAGAATTGTTAGGAATTTAAGAGAAATGGAAATGATTTTATTTGTATATGCAAATTACACTGATTTTTGATAATTTCAAAATTAAAGATCATTATATTAATAATTTGACAATAAAAATATATTTTTAGGCTGTCCCAAAAGTATAAATTGCAAAACTTGAAGCATAAGAAACTTAAAATTACGAAAATAATGATGACATCAATAAAACTTTACTTTGTTGTCAAGTAGTAATTTGAATATTGAATCAAAATGTTCCAAAATGCCACATGGAAGAAAATTTAGTATGGAAGAAATTGCAAGAATATAGAAATGAAAAGCAGAAGGCTGTAGTAGTGTCAAGGAAATTGCTATTTTAATGAACAGATATACTCCTGAAATTTATAAAATTTTGGGAAAATCATCACCAAAACCTTCTAAACATCAATCAGGAAGACCAAAATCACATCTCAAAGAGATGATAATCGAATTGTGCATGTTGCATCAATAAATCAATTTGTCAAAGTTTGTTTGAAAGTAGATTAAAAATATCAAAAAGCACTGTTCATCAAAAAATTTCAACAGTTCCACATATGAATTTTACGATCTCTTCTATTTACATAGGCTGTTTAATTTAACACTCAATTGTTATAATTCTTGAGCATTTGTTGCTAGAAAAGGTGATATTCAATCCATTTTCTGTGCAATGTTTTCTTAATGATTGCAATGGTGAAATAGGCTTAAGAATTTCCTTAACTTAGTGCAAAATTGGGCCTACGATCCTCACAATTTCTTGTTTACTTTGATACCATCATAATAAGCCTGTTATTAGTGTAAATTTTTCAAGCAAAAATGACCCACAAGTTCTCAATCGGATTTATATCCAGGTGTCTTGCTGGCCAATTCATAACTTAATAATATGATCTTCAAGCCACTTAGTTCTTCAATGTGAACAATGAGTACTGGCATTGTACTGTTGAAAAATCCAATCAGGTCCTCCAATTTTTCCTCTAGTAGATAATAAATTATTTTTTAGTACTTCTTGATAACTTTTAGATGTATGTCTACCAGTTAAAATCACTAAATTTGATAAACCATTAAATCCAAAGCAGCCCCACACCATAACAGAACCACCAACCTGTTGCCTGCTGAAAAATTGTTCTCCTCTTTCCTAATATCATGCCAGTAATGAGCCCATCCAAATTAAATTTCTTTTCATTACTAAAAAGAACTGAGATCCATTAGTCATTTCACGGCATGTGATCTTAGCCCACTGCATTTTTGTCAGTTTGTGTTGTTTTGTTAGCAGTGGTTTTTTTTTTAATCATGGCAGCATATTAAAAAAAAAACCACTGCTATCAAATTATTAATGCATGATTAAAAAAAAACCACTGCTAACAAAACAACACAAACTGACAAAAATGCAGCGGGCTAAGATCACATGCCGTGAAATGACTAATGGATCTCAGTTCTTTTTAGTAATGAAAAGAAATTTAATTTGGATGGGCTCATTACTGGCATGATATTAGGAAAGAGGAGAACAATTTTTCAGCAGGCAACAGGTTGGTGGTTCTGTTATGGTGTGGGGCTGCTTTGGATTTAATGGTTTATCAAATTTAGTGATTTTAACTGGTAGACATACATCTAAAAGTTATCAAGAAGTACTAAAAAATAATTTATTATCTACTAGAGGAAAAATTGGAGGACCTGATTGGATTTTTCAACAGTACAATGCCAGTACTCATTGTTCACATTGAAGAACTAAGTGGCTTGAAGATCATATTATTAAGTTATGAATTGGCCAGCAAGACACCTGGATATAAATCCGATTGAGAACTTGTGGGTCATTTTTGCTTGAAAAATTTACACTAATAACAGGCTTATTATGATGGTATCAAAGTAAACAAGAAATTGTGAGGATCGTAGGCCCAATTTTGCACTAAGTTAAGGAAATTCTTAAGCNTGCTAGGTTGGAGCCTTGGGTGGCTTCTGTTCTGTATGGTGTTTGGGGGATGTCCGCCTGGATACAGGTGTTGAATCTGGCCATTGTCTTGTATGGCCCTGGGAGATGTCCACTGAGAACTAGGTGGCTGGAGATGTCCACCTTGCTATGGTGTCTGGTGAAGTCCACCAGTGTCCACTGAGAATGGCCAACAGGTAACTGGTGGGTAGAGCTCTAGGAAAATGTCCACTCCAACTTGAGTTCCAGCCTCTTTTTATCCAATTCAGCCTGGGAAAACCCATCAGATGATTAGATGTTGTTGGAGATGAAGGTTGATTTTGCAGGTGTTGGGTCAGAGGTGAGCTGTAAATGATGTAAAACTGTCGTTATAGGGAGCTGCTATTATCATATTAGGCTCGAAACTTTTACGATCTCTTCTATTTACATAGGCTGTTTAATTTAACACTCAATTGTTATAATTCTTGAGCATTTGTTGCTAGAAAAGGTGATATTCAATCCATTTTCTGTGCAATGTTTTCTTAATGATTGCAATGGTGAAATAGGCTTAAGAATTTCCTTAACTTAGTGCAAAATTGGGCCTACGATCCTCACAATTTCTTGTTTACTTTGATACCATCATAATAAGCCTGTTATTAGTGTAAATTTTTCAAGCAAAAATGACCCACAAGTTCTCAATCGGATTTATATCCAGGTGTCTTGCTGGCCAATTCATAACTTAATAATATGATCTTCAAGCCACTTAGTTCTTCAATGTGAACAATGAGTACTGGCATTGTACTGTTGAAAAATCCAATCAGGTCCTCCAATTTTTCCTCTAGTAGATAATAAATTATTTTTTAGTACTTCTTGATAACTTTTAGATGTATGTCTACCAGTTAAAATCACTAAATTTGATAAACCATTAAATCCAAAGCAGCCCCACACCATAACAGAACCACCAACCTGTTGCCTGCTGAAAAATTGTTCTCCTCTTTCCTAATATCATGCCAGTAATGAGCCCATCCAAATTAAATTTCTTTTCATTACTAAAAAGAACTGAGATCCATTAGTCATTTCACGGCATGTGATCTTAGCCCACTGCATTTTTGTCAGTTTGTGTTGTTTTGTTAGCAGTGGTTTTTTTTTAATCATGCATTAATAATTTGATAGCAGTGGTTTTTTTTTTAATATGCTGCCATGATTAAAAAAAAAACCACTGCTAACAAAACAACACAAACTGACAAAAATGCAGTGGGCTAAGATCACATGCCGTGAAATGACTAATGGATCTCAGTTCTTTTTAGTAATGAAAAGAAATTTAATTTGGATGGGCTCATTACTGGCATGATATTAGGAAAGAGGAGAACAATTTTTCAGCAGGCAACAGGTTGGTGGTTCTGTTATGGTGTGGGGCTGCTTTGGATTTAATGGTTTATCAAATTTAGTGATTTTAACTGGTAGACATACATCTAAAAGTTATCAAGAAGTACTAAAAAATAATTTATTATCTACTAGAGGAAAAATTGGAGGACCTGATTGGATTTTTCAACAGTACAATGCCAGTACTCATTGTTCACATTGAAGAACTAAGTGGCTTGAAGATCATATTATTAAGTTATGAATTGGCCAGCAAGACACCTGGATATAAATCCGATTGAGAACTTGTGGGTCATTTTTGCTTGAAAAATTTACACTAATAACAGGCTTATTATGATGGTATCAAAGTAAACAAGAAATTGTGAGGATCGTAGGCCCAATTTTGCACTAAGTTAAGGAAATTCTTAAGCCTATTTCACCATTGCAATCATTAAGAAAACATTGCACAGAAAATGGATTGAATATCACCTTTTCTAGCAACAAATGCTCAAGAATTATAACAATTGAGTGTTAAATTAAACAGCCTATGTAAATAGAAGAGATCGTAAAAGTTTCGAGCCTAATATGATAATAGCAGCTCCCTATAACGACAGTTTTACATCATTTACAGCTCACCTCTGACCCAACACCTGCAAAATCAACCTTCATCTCCAACAACATCTAATCATCTGATGGGTTTTCCCAGGCTGAATTGGATAAAAAGAGGCTGGAACTCAAGTTGGAGTGGACATTTTCCTAGAGCTCTACCCACCAGTTACCTGTTGGCCATTCTCAGTGGACACTGGTGGACTTCACCAGACACCATAGCAAGGTGGACATCTCCAGCCACCTAGTTCTCAGTGGACATCTCCCAGGGCCATACAAGACAATGGCCAGATTCAACACCTGTATCCAGGCGGACATCCCCCAAACACCATACAGAACAGAAGCCACCCAAGGCTCCAACCTAGCAAATACAACTCTCCACCTCTCTATGAAGAGTAGAATGAGAATGAGTAAAATATGTAATATGTAATCTGGTGATATGTAAGTGTTCACATAGTGTAGGGTTTTCCCTACTAGTTTATAATTGTTGATTTTGGCTGTTATGCAGGGTCAATACCTGTAAATTTAGTGAGTACTCCTTGGAAAAAAAGAGAGAATATGAATTAAACCTGAATCTATTTCAGGCAGTGAAGAAGTGTTGATATTGTTATTAGTGGAAATAGTAGTGGTAGGAACAGTATTGTCAATGCATATTATTATTAATTATTATTATATGCTACTTAATAATACAAATTAAAATGATGTCAAGAATTAATACTTCCAATAATGTAATATAATTATATTTACCTGTTGTGTTGAGGTTAATAAAAATCCTTGTTGTAAACGAAAGGCCTGACTATTAATATATTTTTTTGGTGACACATTTCTGTGTAGATATTCATCAATCTGTAATAAAAATATATAAATATTAATTTAAAGTTTATTATTATGTACAAAGTTTGAAATGAGATGAAATGAGACAAAATGACTTGGAATTCCAGTTCATTTCAAAATACATTGAATACATTCTGTTACTTTTTAATCATCAATAATGCCATTCCATAAGTTATTTCTTGCTCTTGTTTTTTACTCTAAAAGTAGGCTTTTGAGAGTATGCTGACTCCACATAATATCAAGAGAAATGCAAATGCAATAAAGCTTTGACTCCTATAATCTTTTTCACATCTATGTTTCTCCTGTTATTTTTGCATGGTACTTTTGCTAATTTCAAAATTATTTTCTTATAAATAATTTTCTATATATGTTCACTAAGAAACTGAACAAGATAAATAAGCTAATATTCATTTTGTAACTATAGTTGACATTTCAAGCAAATCAATCTTGTCCAATATCCAAAGATGGACTGAAAAATGCTAACAACAATAAAAGCATCTGGAGAATATTTTAACAGTTAACCTGAGTGGCCTATGCAAATATGCCCTGTAGTATAGTGTAGTGGCCAGTGGTGGTTTTAGTAGTAGCTTTTAATTACTGTTATATCATAATCATCATTTCAGTTTATTTTAAATAAACTGGAATGATGATAATGACTTATAAATGATGGCAACTTATGTATTTGAAAAAATTCATTTTACGTTACACTTTTTGTATTTAAAACTTTTCTATTATTATTAATTATTTTGTTATTCCAAGGATTTCTTTATTCTACAGCTTGCTGGATTGACAGACGTTATCCAATAAAGTTTCTTCTAATATATATTTTGAGCTCTAACTAGTTAGCTGATTTGTTTATAATATTCTGTTGTATATTTATTGGCTTACAAATAAAGTGGACATAATTATTTAGAGAGCCAGTAATAAAGACTTTGTTCATACAGTCAGAAGTTATTAATTTAATAAATCTGTTTATTTTTCATTCAAAATGATTTGTCTGGCAACAATATGAAATAGTCCGTACATTTTCCACTTACTTTAGCAATAATTTGCTTCAATGTTATTTTATTTACAGGGTTCCTACTCAAATTTTTGTTTTGAATTCCCNAATACCGAGAAAAAAAAAATGATATTTGAAATGCTTTTGATTCTTAAAATGGTTACATAAATTTATAGATTAGACTACTGTATTTATTTTAAGAAATTAATAAATGAAATAACTGTTTGATTGAGTCAATATGTAATTAAATTCAAAGTTGTATTATGTATAAACTGTAATTGAAATGAAAATTTCATGAATAATATAAAATAAAGAGTATCTTTGCTGTTGACTCTGTTCATAAAAATACTTTCTCATCTATGCATAGATGAGAAAGTATGGCCCAAAATCAGATTTAGTTCACTTATCAGGTTAAGACTTAAAGATATGTAATGCTAATGAACTTGTTCCTTGTTGCTGTTGTTGAATTACTGAGGACATAAATTTTGTTGTACTCCAAACAGTGTTTAGTTCTTAATTGATATTTCATTTTTATTTCATTTCTAAAACTCCTAAAAAAATAACAGAACAATGAATGCCATATCATGCATTGAGATAAAATGGCTGCCAAGTTAGTTAAAACTTTACTAAAATAGTCACATAAAGGCATACAAAATCAAATTACAAAATCACTTTCACTGGACTTTTTTTATATGCCAATTTTGACTCTCAATTTTAAAAATAGTCAAATTAGTTGAAAAAATGATAATTTATAAATCAAATCCAACCCTGCAAATGTATTGTCATTCATATTAAATTTTTCTATACTTCTATCCCAATGGCATATCACTGAGATAGAAATATACTACTGTTTATTTCTTCATATGTGATATTATCATCATATTACCATATATGCAGAAATAATTGGCAAGCCAAAAATAATTATAATCATTTCTAGACAACCATTGATATCAACCAATATGAAAAATAAACTATTAAAAAAACATTGCTAAATTTAATTTGGAGAATTAGTTAATCTTTTAGCCATAAAAATTACCTAATTGTACAGAATGTAAAATAATTGAATTCATGTATCCAGAAAGCATGTTCAATTTTTATTGAAACCTATATTCTCAATGTTAATTCTATATCGTAAGAATTCCAAATATGCTCTAAAATGTTTTATTTATAAACAATTGACTTACCTATATGAATTTTATTGACTATCTTAGATAATTATTTAATAGTAAAAGATTTATTTGTGTTCTATAAACAAAAAATTAAATTATCTTGTAAGCAATGACATTGTTTTCATCAGGTTATTAACAAAACTACTTTTACTTATATTCAATTTGCTATTACTGTAATTTCCTGCATAAATTTTATAATCCACAGTGACATATACTCCATTAAAAAATTGTTAGAATGAAAATAAAATCTTAGTATAACCTTCACCATTTGAATACCCTGCACCTCTGAAGTGGATGTTGAAAACACTACACAACTGGAATATCAAAAATAGAATCAAATTTATTAGTACCTTGCGGAAAGCAGCTTCAGTTTTGTCAGGTGCAACTTTCATAGCAGAAGTGACATCATGAATTGGCCATGGCATATATTTCAAACTATAATTTCTGTTGATTATATAATGACAAATTTTAAATATCATTAGTTATAACTTATTAAGTTACATATTTAAATTTAAATTATCTAATATTGATTAATTTCATACACCATAAGAAAATTTCATGATGTAATAATTATTATATTTTTGGTTTCCAATATTTTAACATAAAAATTATTAAAAAATCTTCAACTTTGTATAATAACAAAATTAAAAATTTTGTCATTATTCCACCTAAATAAGGCATCATTTCAAAAATTTTGTGTTTGATTCTAAGAAGGAACTGAAGCTAAAGGCTTAGAAATATTTATCCAGTTTTTAATTTTAAGACTTCATAAATTGAGTAAGTTTTAATTTATAAGTGCTCAGAAATATCTTGCTAATTAACTGCTAATATTCAAGTAGTTGCCCTAATGTAATAGATAAAATTAGGAGGAACAAGGCAAACAACAAATTTAAATAAATGTCATTTTCTAAAAAGCACAAAAAAAAAAAAAAAA